TTCAATACCTTCAGTCAGCACCGATGTTATTTGTTCAGGCAACGTAGTTTCATACTTCTCTCGAGGTTCCATAACTATAAGCATCTCATCTCTGCGTTCTGGAAGGCTCTCTGCTTCGCAGTATTCTTGTTCTGCATTCACTGGCTTAGGCTTAGGTGATTTGCCTTCACTTTTCGGTACATTTTCTGCCTTATAAAATTCAGCTGGTGCCAATGATTCCGGCTGAGCTAATGAACTTTCAGATCCTTCTTCCCGAGAAAGATCAAATTTTTTTTTCTCAGCTGCCCCCTCTCTCGCTAGAGGTCTGACTTCCTTCACTTCGCTGCTTTTATGTCCTGCAATGCGTTCTTCATTTACTGCGAGTGCTGTTTGGTCCGCTAAGTTAGTACCATCGTTTAATTGTTGTATCATCATAACTTTTTCTCCTATCTGACTTTCCTGCCTGGTTTTCAAAACAAAGCACTGATCAGCGAGATATTCTCCTGATTTCCATTCATCTGCTGGTCTAATTCCACTTTCTAACAAATCCTCTTTTTTACGGGTTCCTTTATCTGATACGGATGAAACATCTTCAGGTGATGTACTTTCAAGCTTTCCTCTGTCCGCTGCTACCGCTTTTTTATTACTTTCTTCTCCCCTTGTCTTTACATCTTCTTGTTCTCGTTTAGACGCTTCTATAAATGTTTCAGCTCTAATTTTTTCCGGATCTGCTACGGGAAATATCTCAAATGCTTCCTTGGCTGACGTCAGTGCAATCTGTTTAACTTCTGTTATTTGGCGTTCTCGTCCTTCAAGCTTCACAACTTTCTCTTTTTCAGGACGTTCATCATCGGCTTGCAAAACATTACGACCTTCAAAGTAATCCCGTTTCAGCTCAAGTGATTTTTTTCTGTCACCTTCTGTCAAACATTCAACGCCATGAAGCCCCTCTTGAACCGTCTCAGACAGAGCTGGTACCACTTGTTCAGCTCGCCCAAATTTACATTCAGTTCCTGCATCCACTGCTTTCTGAGTAACTGCTTTTTTCGGTCCAGCACTATCGATCTTAAGTAATTCGGCTG